GGAAAATAGCTGCAAAAGTTGAGCCACCAATGACGGAGGACGAAATCATACGCATTTTCATTAAGGCACATGATCCGCCATACTTTGAAGAAATTTTCCGTATGACTGGATGCTCATTTGCCGCAATTGTTAATAAGCTTGAGGAATTCGATGATTTCGTGAAGGCTGGGAAGATTGTTAATGTCTCCGCCCTCAAATCCCAGTTGGATGCCTTGCAAGGACAGGGGAATAGTGGGAAGAAACAACAATTCAAAAAGCAAGAGGGGGAAACTGCTTTTGTCTGGAGACGAAACCCTATTCCAAGGCCCAGACCTAGACAATACAATACCTACTCAAACCCTTACCCTTACTATTCAAGTCCTCAACCTGTTTACCACACCAATACCACTCATCCTCGACCTCGCCCTAATTACAACAACTCGCCTATGGCCCCTTTTCAAATATCTCAACCTCACTTCCAACAAGTTCGACCCCGACCTCCTTACAATCAACAATTTCCCCGACCAAACAGACCCATCTACAACTACCCCCAACATACTGAAACCCACGTTCAAAATCGTTCTCGAACATTCACCAATCTTGGCAGGCCTTTGGACCAATTATATGAACAATTAAAAGCCGCCGGTAAAATCGCGAAATTCCCCCTCCAGCCTACCATGGTATCTCCGGCGGATATAACCCACAATACACTTGTGCCTATCATTCGGGAGCACCTGGCCACCCAACTACTGATTGTAGAGCACTTAAACAGAAAGTCCAAGAAATGATCGAGGCCGGGGAAATATTGATTAGAAGAAGTGCAGAACAAGGACCGAACATAAGTACAAACCCCTTTCCCAAACACAGTGACACCTTTGAAGCATCCACCTCCAATGACGAAATTTGAAAATCCTGAAGGAGCTCTGCACAATTTGGATGGCTGATTATCCTCCCTCTCAAAGGGAATTTCGATAAATCTAGGGGTTTGTCATTTACTAAAATTCACGAAAACTTTTTCTTGCATATGTGAATAGCTTTAACGAAAGCATCTTTTGCAATTGAGTTTTGTCTTGTTTCTGCTTTGATTTGGAGTTTCATGAAATGCACAATTTGTTTTATTTGTTTATTTGATTATTTTCCTGAATTTTTGTTAATTCTTTGAGATGGCCAAAGATGAAATTATTTGATCCTTTGAATATCACTGTTCTGGAATCTGATGTAGCCCTTCATTGAAAATCCCTTCATTAAAAATCCTTTCGTTGAAAATCCCTTCCTGGGAAAGCCTTCATTGAGAAAACCATTGAAAACCCCTCCATTAAAAATCCATTCATTGAGAAATCTCTTCTTTGAGAGACCCCTTCATGGAGAAAGCCTTCATAAAAAGAAAAAAGCCTTCATTGAGAAATTCCTTCATTGAGAAAATCCCTTTCCTGCCAGGTTGTAAGCTGATTGTTAAAGCAGTGTGCCATGACCAACGTTGTCAAAATGCATGACCTACGTTCATAACAAAAGGATCCGCCACCGATCTTCTGAAAAAGGAAACAAAGTGCTAAAGCGATGAAAGACGAAGTCGAAGGCAAATTTGCTTCAAATTGACAAAGCTTACTGGGTGTTCAAAGGAGAGATGGAAGAACAGACATTCCTCAACCTATCAACTCGGACATGTGTAAGATGTTCTTTATTTGATTATGCAAAATTTCTTTTAGGAAATCATGCAAAGGCGAGGCAAAAGTCAGGCCGTCTTTTTTCAATCAAAACATTTCATCCCTAGTCATCCCCTTTGAGCTATCAGAACAATAATTTTCGTTTGGTAGCCCCTGAGAATTGCAAACCCCACACTGGGGCAAATTCATTTTGAAAAATGATCAGAAAGGAAAGAAAAACCCCACACTGGGGCAAATGTATCTTTGAAAGAGATATGAAAAGGAAGAATGAACCCCACACTGGGGCAAATTTAGTTTTTTGAAGAAAAATACAAAAAGTGAGAAAAATGCAATGAAGAAAATGCAAGAAGAAGAAAAATCCAAGCAAGCTGGGGCAAATTTTCCTCGGTTTCGTTCAAAAATTGGAGATAATTTCAAAATGATGCAATCTCAGGTTATTTCACACCTTTCATCAAACCTGCTTTCAAGCCTCAACTTTTCTTGAAAAACACCCCACCTGACCTCATTACAAAAGCCCAAAGTCCTGGCTTTCGTCACTTGCTGCATTTCTATTAGGAATTTTGCTAATCAACTGGCAGGTGATGTCCATAATGCCTTCGTTTAAGTTTATAAGGGAAGAGCATTTTATTGATGCCAGCAATCTTCAACTTACATTCCTGAGTCGACTATGGTTGAGCTCTTCCATTGTTTCATTAGGTGAAAACCCACAAGGGCACCTCAAGAGAAAGGAAAAAAAGAAAAAAAGAAAGAAGGAAGAAAAAAAAAGGAAAAAAAAAAAAAAAAAGAAAAAACCAACAAAAAGGGTGGGGGCAACCTTGGTGAAACCCGAATGGGCGCTAAGGTAGGTTTCTGCAATGAGAAAGTACAAAGAGGAACAACTGGTGGTTTGGTCCATTTAGATTTGTCCTCATTTTTGTCATACCTCTGGCAACATTGAATTCCGGAACTAAGATATCCAAAGACTTGAATATGACATCCGTTGGCCAAAGCTGTGTCATTTTGAAAAAAAAACATTCTTTTGCACATACATTCTTAGGAAACTCATTTTTTCCCAAATTACTTGTATTCATGACATTTTTGTAGAATTTAAGCACACATGGTTGTGTGTGCATTCTTGTGCATATTCATTTTTACATGACATGTGAATTTTCTTGCATACCTCATTTTTTATTGTTGAATTGTGATAAATGACAATCCCTGTGATTTATTTCAAAAAGTATACTTGGATTCAGTCATCCTTTGGAAACAGTTGAAATCCAGCCAAGCCAACTACACAAACTTCATAATATCGCAAAGCATATACCTGGTCAGTTTGAAAATCGGGAAAGCCTTAGGGTGAGAAATCCAACTCAATCGGCTACCGCAGCAGAAGTTGATAAAGGCATTGAAAGACTCATGTTTACACGATTCTCAAAGGAAAACGGATCAAATGATGGTGGCAATTTCCTTTATTTTTTCTCTTTTGTAGAAAATTGCATGCAATCACACCCCGCACTGGAACCGGTGCCGGAAAGAGTTCTCCAGGGAATAAAGGCAGATCGAAAAATGTTGCAAGCAAATTCGATCAAAAGGTACAACAACACGGCAATGCAGAATCAACTATGGACTCAAGTTGCAAAAACTCAACTCACACAGGGGCAAATTATTTCGACAAGTCTCAAAAAGAAAGAAAAAAAAATCAAAAAATCAAAATCAAAATCAAAATCAAATCAAAATCAAAAATCAAAAATCAAAAAAATCAAAAAGTCAAAAATCAAATCAAGTTCACCTCGGCAGAACTGGGTTCTATCCCGCTGACCGTTTATCACGTTGGAACTGGGTCTGACCGTTTATCACGTTGGAACTGGTTTTTTCGGCAGGCAGAATACGTTGGAATTCTGGGTTTATCCGGCCAACCTCGGCAGAACTGGGTTCTATCCTGCTGACCGTTTATCACGTTGGAACTGGGTTTTATCCCGCCAACCTCGGCAGAACTGGGTTCTATCCGCGCTGACCGCTTATCACGTTGGAACTGGGTTTTATCCGCGCCACCTCGGCGGAACTGGGTTCTATCCCGCTGACCAATTCATTACACTAGGACAAATCTTGGATAATTTTCCAAGCAAGTTTCATACAGTTTTTTCAAACATACCAACATTTCATTTTCATAGCCACTGGAGCTGAGGTTTGTCCCGCCAGTGAGCTTTCCATTTTTATAGCCGCTGGAGCTGAGGTTTGTCCCGCCAGTGAGCTTTTCATTTTTATAGCCGCTGGAGCTGAGGTTTGTCCCGCCGGTAAACTTTTCATTTTCATAGCCACTAGAACGTGGGTCAGTACTGCCAGTGAACATTTCATTTTCACAGCCACTGGAACGTGGATCAGTCCCATTAACACTTCATTTCGCTTCTATCATTTGCATCACAATAAACATGGGTCAACCCCACCAATACTCCATCTCACTTCAATTCATCCTGTTTTAATTCTTTCGGGTCAGTCCCGTTTAAATTTCTGTTCGGGTCAGTCCCGTTTAAATTCTGTTCGGGTCAGTCCCGTTTAATTCCTGTTCGGGTCAGTCCCGTTTAAGTTCTGTTCGGGTCAGTCCCGTTTAAATTCTGTTCGGGTCAGTCCCGTTTAAATTCTGTTCGGGTCAGTCCCGTTTAAGTTTTGTTCGGGTCAGTCCCGTTTAAATTCTGTTCGGGTCAGTCCCGTTTAAATTCTGTTCGGGTCAGTCCCGTTTTAAATTCCTATTCGGGTCAGTCCCGTTTTAAATCTCCTGTTCGGGTCAGCCCCGTTTTAAATTCCTGTTCGGGTCAGTCCCGTTTAAATTCCTGTCTGGGTCAATCCCATTTCAACATTTTGATAGAGAGGTCAGTCCTCGTTTCAAGAGCGGCAATCGTTCCAAACATTCGCCACCGAATAACACAGGTAAGTATTGGTGTCTACTTCTTTGTCTCAAGTTTTTTCAAAACTCAGACAAAGAGGGGCAAACTGTAGACACCAAATTTTTAATAATTTTATGTAGCATCTATTTCATGATTTTCATTTTTAGATTGCTTGCATTTTAGTTCGTTATTGTGTGTTTTGCACTATTAGTTGTTATGATGTTTTAGTTTTATTCATTTTCGCCCTTTTAGTTGACCTATTGTGGCGACCCCACTTCCCCCTGAGGCGAACCAAAGGGTTGGCGGGCCGTCTGCCCAACTCTCGCCAGGACTCACGCGAGCAATCTGACTAGAAACTTTTCGAAGAATAAACTAATCTATTATAAAACAATTTTTCCCCGAATAGCATCATACCTAAAACCACATTAACTTCAGAGATAGCAATGATAAAATAACTAGTCGAGGCCCTTAAACGCCCTACGTGCTACATACCAAGTACAAAATCATAACAACCCAGATAGATAACATGCATAAATCCATAATACAACTTACAAGCCAAGTAATCGAATTAGGGTTTACACATTTTCCAGCTTCAAGTGGCAATCCAAAAAGGAAAATACATTATTCCAATAACACGCTACAGCCCACAGAACAAGTTATAGAATTCAAGTACAGCCCAAAAGAAAACATAATTAAGCCTCCAGCTTTCAGTTTCCAAAACCTGTTAAGGAAAACAATAAACGTGGGATGAGTTAAAGCTCAGTGGTGCCCCAAAACATGCAATTACATAAATCAAACAACGGATAACAATTTAAACAAAATTTAATCAATTAGGAAAGCGAATAACAGCACAAGGTAGGATACAGGGCTCTCAGGAGCCATTTTCCACGCTTGATCAGATACCATCGTAGTTGACCCTCCGTCAACTTTCACTACTTATAGTCCATGTAGATCCACTTATTTTAATCCTAACCCGTCACCGTTCATACCTCTGCTTCGGGCCCGAAATTCGTCTACCGACGCAGTATACTCGAGATATACCCGTATAAAATTAGTCGAGGGATTCACCCAATGACGTGATTGCAATCAGATACATGCGTCGAGAAATTCACCAAACAACGTGATTGCAATCAGATACGTGCGTCGAAGGATTCACCCAATGACTTATTGTAGTTAGATACATGCGTCGAGGGATTCACCCAACGACGTAACTACATTTAGATTCATGGTAGTTAGATTCATGCGTCGAGGGATTCACCCAACGACGTAACTACATTTTGAATCAAGGATTTAGGAGAAAATATTTTGCACAAGTCACCACTCGAACGGCTAGTGTGATAAAGTACACACAGCTCACTTCGATGGATCAGAAACCAATTTTTTTTTTTTCAACTTATCACATAACAAATCAAGAAAGCACTTTAAACGAGTAGGCATAGAACAGGCAGGGACACTCACCCAGAGTGGAGTTCAGATATCAAGTTGGGGATCGAAATCCGTGTCCTCGAAAAACCCTAAAAACCAAAATTTGAAACTATAAGTTTCTACTCAATTTTTAAGCTTATAGACATTAAGATATATTGAATATATTACTAGTTCACTTTCCCTTAGAAAAAAAATCAAGGGTTCCTTAGATTAAAACTCGATAAAAGTAGAAGAGATATTTCTTATAGTTTTCCTTGAAGTACTTTTCTAAAATAAATTAACTAGTATTATTTTATTGAAATAAGTCGATAAACCTCTGAATATCAAAGCTAGACAGTTACTTTGAACATTTCTCTAAAGATACGACTTTTGCAAGATTTATTCCCAAAAACTATTTTTCCTAAAAAAAAATAGAGTTTTCTTGCCGAGCAAGACTCCCAGGCTTTTCACTAAAATTTGTAAAACTCGTATTTTGAATTTTTCCTAAAGTTAGCTATCCAAATGTAAAGCTTAAGGAAAGAAAAGAAATTGAAATACGCCTTAGAATTTTCAAAAGCTATAGTATTAAAATACTATAGCTATCAAGACTAGTTTAAGCTAAAGGAACTTATCGGTTTCGAAAAGTTTTAGGTGAAACACTAGATATTGAGTTTTTATATTATACTACTAGCTGGAAAATATTTTTGATTGATTTGATCACAGTTACTCGAGTTCACCAAGTCGAAACGACTTGCACAGCTCCGGTTCCGTTTCGAAATTATTAGAGATCAAAATATGGCAAAAATCACGTAGCAAATTACTAGGACTTCGTCAACCATTAGCCCTAGGTTTCAACAATTTATCATTCGAGCACACGCAAGAAAATTAACCAAGGCTTAGTCAATACTTAGCACTTGTATATAATACTTGTACCAACTCACAGCTTTCTAAACAATTTCAACAATTCATCCATAAATTCAAGTGTGGGAATTCATAGAGCCCACTGTCAAAAATTTTCAACCGTAAATCCAAGTGTGGGAATTCATAGAGCCCACTGTCAACAATTTCCAACTACAATTTAATCAAAAATTTAAACCACACGTAGGCTAAAATCTCAATTCAAAACCCAATTTCTGTTTCACCAAGAAACAGGACATTCCTGCAAAACAGTCCACTTTAAAAATTCACAGACAGCAGTATACATGTAGGAAAAATCTGAAATTTCTACAGTACAAAGGCCTATGATTCTAGTTTTAAATGCCACTGACGGCGCCTTAAACGGATTTTTCTACACCAAGATATAAACATTTTTCTGAGACTGGTTAGGCCATCCGAAAATCTGAAATTCCAATTTTTCACTTGTGAAAAATGCCTTTTCTCTTTTAACACCAACTTGTTTTTATTCAAACCTTCTATATACTTCATATAAAACTTCAAAACAACATTTTCCAAGCATTTCCATCCATCATGATTCAAGGAACAATTCAAACGTCAAGTTAAGGTTCCAATTCACCATTTGACGGTCACATAAGAAATTTCCAGCATGTAACCCAACATTTCTAGTTCCAACTTCAATTTAGCAAACATTTTATTGCTAAACAACTTATACCACTTAAAACTTACAGCTTCCCTGTATGACTAAACCATTTTAATCCAAGGAAAACCCAAAAATAGGTTAAAATTCCAAAAGAAAACAAATTTGAAATTTCTGCTCACACCTCTTTGCTATCCAGAATTTTCCAGCACCTATGTTTTCAAAAATCCAACTTTTCCTTGGCTAAAATCTGGTTTTAAACACCCAAATTAGTCATGCAAAAACTCATCTAGCTAATTAATAACTCCAATTCAAAATTTAACTCAAACAACCGCTGCAATTCCCCAAAATTTCCAGAATTTCTGCACAGCTAGCTTCGGACAACATACATGCAACAGATTTCATTTTTATTTTATTCTTCTGGTTTAAACTAACTAATTAGCTGTATGCAGAGCCTAATTAACTTGTTATAAATCATCTAATCATGGTTATAAATCTAAACATCAGCATTAAACCAAATCAGGCTGCATAATCTTAAGCTAAGCTCTCGGTCAAAGCAGAAATTCTTCCAGCATTTGTTTAGTCACAAATCAATTTTTTTTTTCCCCGGTTAAATCCTGTATTTTGCACTTAAAATTCACATGCACAACTGCTGAATTAACTAGCTATCATATCCAGACCAGAAATCAGTTTGACCGCAACAAAATTGAACCAAGCTAAGCTGCAATAATTAAGCTAAGCTATCGGCAGAAATTTCTTGACCCAAACCAGAAGTTTCCTCTGTTTTAACACTTCATCCGAATGTCCAATTCAACATGCATGGACTTAATCTTCAAGTTTTCACTCAGCTAATGACACTCAAGTGCTCAGATCATCACAGATTATCCAATTAAAGTTACAATTTCCAGCTCAACTTTCGGCAGCTTCAATTCATTCTAAACCAGATTTCCCAAATCTTAATTCTTCATCTAACCTCACCAGCCCACATGCATGTTTATAGACAGCTTCAACAACCCACAACAACTCATATAAGTCCAGAAATTACCTTAGATTGAAGTTTAGTTCACACGACTAGCTTCTGCAAATCCTTCCTTCTCGATCCGTCCAAACTTTCAGTTCGTCCACCCCTCTTATCTCTTGTCCAAGCTTGCAACCAAAATGGAGAAGGTTTAGCTCTCCGCTCTCTTCACTACCTCACGGTTGGATCGAGTATAGAGCAGCAGGGTTCACCATTTTTATTTTTTTTTTCTAGTTCACGGATGAAAGGAAAGAAAAGTTGAAAGCTCGGCTCTTTTCCCTTGGACACTCCGCCCGCAGCTCACGGCAGAAAGGAAATGGAAATGTGGAGCAAATGATATGGGTGGTTTGTGGTATAAGAACAAAGAGTAGAGATATAATGCTGCGGTTTGGAAGGAGGAAGAAATAATTTGCGGTTTTGGTCTTGTGCAGGGAAGGAAATGAATCTGTGGTCTTAAGTCGTGAGATAGATTGGACGTATGGTGGTGCCGTAGTTTGTGAGAGCGGTTTACGTGTGAGGATGGATTGCGTATAACATCGGTTGCGTATCGAAATGGTTAAAAGCAATTGTGATTTGATTTGTGTCATACGTCTTGTTTGGTTTGCATGGAAAGGTAAGGTAAGGGTAATTTAGTCTTTTCACTTTACTCCCTAACCTCGACTTAATTTCGCAAATCCTACTTAATTCTAAAAATTATTCCCAAGTGTGATTCAAACGCTTAAATATACTCTAACATACCTAAACCATTTCTAGCGAATAAATTATCGATTAAACTTGAATATTAAGGTTCCCAACCTGATTTAGCAATTAAATTAGTTATTAGAATTTCCAATTATTATTTCTCAAGAAGTGGGGTTAGTCTAACTCGAAATTTGTTGATTTAGTAATATAAGGCCAAATGAAATAGTAATTTAATCCAAGGGTGTCAATTTGCACACAAAATTTATTGTTACGTACTTATTTGAAAATAAGGAAAGATAAGGATATATTTATCGAATTTTCATGCCTTAAGCATGTTTAATATATTGGTACTATATTTATCGAAAATTCATTGGTTTTCAATTTAACACGGAAATTCTTATTAACATATTCCATTAGTAACTAATTGAAATTAATCATAGCACTTAAATAATTTATTTAAAGATAATAAATCTAACGACTCAATTATCATCAATTTTAGCATAAAAGAACTAAGTAATCTAACATTTTATTTTGAGGCGAAAAATTATACCAACCTTAAAGATACTAATTTAATCAAATAAAACCAAGAAATTTCATGACTTTGGAAAAATTATATTATTTTTCACGTAAACCTATTTTTACACACTTAATTGCGAACAGTTAAAAATAATACTAGGATTTATTGAACAATAAAAGAAATGCAAATGAAATATGCACTAACTTATATATCCATTTTCAGGGTTCTCACATCCTTCCCTCCTTACAAGAATTTTGCCCTCAAAATTCACCCTTTCTAAGAAAATAGATCAGGGTACTTTTTCTGCATTTCTTCCTCTAATTCCCAAGTTGCTTCCTCAAGTCCATGATTTTTCCATAGAATCTTTACCAGAGGAATTTTCTTATTTCTCATCTCCTTTACCTCTCTTTCCAAAATCTTGACTGGTCCTTCTTCATACGTTAACGTCTCATCCACTTCAATTCCCTCCAGTGGCAGCACATGACTTGGGTCGGAATAATATTTCCTAAGCATGGAAACGTGAAATACATCGTGAACCTTAGCCATGCTTGCGGGTAACTTCAGCTGATATGCCACATTTCCAACTCGCTTCAAAATTTCGAAAGGTCCGATATACCTTGGCCTTAGCTTCTTACCCTTTTTAGATATTACTCCGCTCTTCAAGGGTTTAACTCTTAGGAAAACCTTGTCTCCTACTTCAAATTCTAAATCTTTTCTCCTTGTGTCGGCGTAGCTCTTTTGTCTACTCTGAGCAGTTTGAAGCCTTTCTCTAATTAGTTTCACTTTCTCCTGGGCTTCTTCTATCCAAGGTATCGCTGTTGGATCTACAATCCTCTTTTCTCCTATTTCATCCCAATGAATCGGAGATCGACACCTTCTTCCATACAAAGCTTCATAGGGTGCCATTTGAATTGAGGCTTGATAACTGTTGTTATACGCAAATTCCACTAAGGTCATATAATTACTCCATTTACCTCCAAAATCCAATATGCACGACCTCAGCAGATCTTCCAAAGTTTGAACTGTTCTTTCCGACTGCCCGTCGGTTTGGGGATGGTACGCAGTACTAAATTTCAACTTGGTCCCCAAAGACTCCTGAAATTTCTGCCAAAAACGTGAGACAAACCTTGGGTCTCGATCAGACACGATACTTACAGGAATACCATGTAACCTTAGAATCTCCTCTGTGTACAACTTGACCAGTTTTTCCAAAGAAAAGGTCATGCTTACAGGTAGGAAATGTGCAGACTTAGTGAGTCGGTCAACTATTACCCAAATTGCATCAAATCCTTTTTGGCTTCTAGGCAATCCCGTTACAAAATCCATTGTAATATGTTCCCATTTCCATTCAGGGATTTCTAACGGTTGCAATAAACCAGAGGGCTTCTGATGCTCAGCTTTTACTTGTTGGCAGATCAAGCATCTCTGAACAAACTCTGCCACGTCCTTTTTCAAACCTTCCCACCAGTACAATCCCTTCACATCATGATACATCTTGGTCACACCTGGATGAATGGTATATTTTGATCGATGTGATTCTTCCAAAATTTCTTTTCTTATCTCCACATCCGCCGGAATCACAATACGATCTCGGAACCTCAATACACCTTCAAACCCCAATTTAAAATCTAGATTTTCCCCTTTTTGCACTCTCTCCAGATTCTTCTGAGTCACAGGGTCCGATTTCTGGGCCTCCTTAATACGCTCTAGTAAAGATGATTTTAACGATAAGTTCCCAAGTAATATCTTCAGTTTCTCCAAACGAGGGTTCCAACCACTTATTTCTTCTAACATGTCCCACTCTTTAACCATTAACCCTGCTACTTGGGCCTTTCTACTTAGAGCGTCAGCTACCACATTAGCTTTTCCCGGGTGGTAGTTAATTGAACAGTCATAATCCTCCAAAAATTCTACCCATCGCCTTTGTCTCAAATTCAATTCCTTCTGGGAGAACAAATACTTAAGGCTCTTATGATCCGTATAAACCTCAAAAGTCACGCCATACAAGTAGTGTCTCCATTTCTTTAAGGCGAAAATCACTGCTGCTAACTCCAGGTCATGAGTTGGGTAGTTTTGTTCATGAGGCTTCAATCTCCTGGAAGCATAGGCAATCACTTTACTGTTTTGCATTAAAACACACCCTAGACCTTCTCCAGAAGCATCGGAGTACACGGCATAACCTTCGCCTCCGTCAGGCAACACCAAAACAGGAGTGGATGTTAATCGCTTCTTTAACTCCTGAAAACTTGACTCACACTTCGGAGTCCAAGTGAACCTATTCCCTTTCTTGGTTAGCTCGGTCATGGGTCCAGCAATTTTCGAAAAATCCTTGATAAATCGCCTATAGTACCCTGCTAATCCCAAGAAATTTCGAATCTCAGTTGGGCTTTCTGGTTGCTTCCAATTCATAACGGCCTCAACTTTTGCCGGATCCACGGCAATTCCCTCCTTAGAAATTTTATGCCCTAGAAAAGATATTTCATCAAGCCAAAACTCACACTTGCTGAATTTGGCATACAGCTTCTGCTCCCTTAATATTTGCAAGACTATCTCCAAGTGCTTAACATGTTCCTCTCGAGTCTTAGAGTATATCAAAATATCATCAATGAAAACCACAACAAACTGATCTAGATACTTCTTAAAGACTCTCTGCATTAAATCCATGAATGCTGCTGGTGCATTAGTTAAACCAAAAGGCATGACTGCGAACTCAAAATGTCCATACCTTGAACTAAAGGCAGTCTTAGGTATATCCTCCTTCTTAATTTTTAACTGATAATACCCTTGCCTCAAATCCAGCTTAGAGAAAACTACTGATCCTTGCAGTTGGTCAAACAGACTATCTATCAACGGTAGAGGGTATTTATTCTTAATTGTAACCTCATTTAACCCTCGGTAATCAATACATAACCTCAAGCTTCCGTCCTTTTTCTTAACAAATAGAACGGGCGCTCCCCATGGTGAATCACTCTCCTTCACAAAACCTTTCTCCAAGAGGTCTTGCAATTGAATTTTCAACTCCTTCAGCTCGGCAGGAGCCATCCGGTACGGAGTTTTAGAGATTGGAGCCGTTCCAGGCACCAAGTCAATCTTAAATTCCACTTCTCTATCCGGCGGTAGAGTTTTTAACTCTTCTGGAAAAACATCCGAAAATTCCCGTACCACTGGTACATCTTCCAACTTCACTTGATCACTGGGAGCATTAATCATGAAAGCTAAGAAACCTTGAGCTCCTTTTGACAACATTTTTCTCGCCCGTATCCCTGAGATCATAGCAGATGATGCTAACCTACCCTTAACATCTAACCTCAGAGTTGCCTCTCCAGGTATACAGAATTCTACCACTTTTGCTCGGCAATCCAGCTTAGCATGATATTGACCTAGGAAATCCATTCCTATGATAACATCGTACCCTTTTATGTCCAGACTGATTAGATCCACTAGCATTTTACGCTCTCCAATCCAGAATTCACAATCCTTAAAGGCTAAGCTAGCGATTATCCTCTTATCACCCATTGGTGTCCTAACTTCAAGATCGAAGGGTAATTTAACAGGTCTCACGGCTATTCCAGACATAAATGATGGATTTACGAATGAATGAGTTGCACCAGGGTCAATTAACACTTTAGCTAATCGATGGAAAATGGGGAGAGTACCTTCCACGACTTCCGAGGAATCAGGTACAGGTTGATCATCTATAGCATATACCCTGGCAGGAACTGTTGGCCGGCTCCCTCCAGAAGTGTTTGGTCTAGCGTATGGAGTACTCCCCTCCTGCATTTTTGGACATCCAGAAATTTGGTGCTCGCTACTTCCGCATCTCAAGCACTTCCCTTGCTTCTTCCAGCAACCATCTATAGTATGGCCAGATTTCTTACAAAATGTACAACTCACTTGGGAAACTATTGCTCGGCCTCCTTGTGAAGTATTCTTGGGTTGTCCCCTTCCAATCGGTCCCACTCGGTTTCCATTACTACGTCCCCCTGCATTCCTGGTCCCGTTTCCTCTTGCTTGGGCGCCTCGTGGTGCTCCAGGACGATTTGCTCCAAGGGTTCCTCGGCCCATTTTAGCTGGTGGAGCATTTCCATATGTCGGCTCCCGACTACTGCTAGGAGCAAATCTTTTCTTAGCCTGAAAAGATTTCACTTGAGCCCTAGCTACTTCAACTCTTTGGGCTTTCTCGACAGCATCTGCAAAGGTATCAATCCTTACAGCAGCTAAACCTTCCTGTATTTCTACATTCAGACCTTGCACAAACCTTCTGACTCGCCTTTGCTCCGTGGTCACCAATTCAGGAGCAAAACGGGATAGTTTTGTGAACTGGACTTCATATTCGGCGACACTCATCGCCCCTTGCTTACATTTTATGAAGTCATCCTCCCTCTTTTCTTGGATAAGAGGTGGAAGAAATTTGGCATTGAACTCCCTTGTGAAGTTCGCCCAAGTCCTTGGAGTATGATTCCTGTCCCAATTAGTGCTAATCAGGTTCCACCAGGAGCGAGCAGCTCCCTCGAACTGGAATGCGGCAAAAGTCACCTGCCGCTCCTCCGTGTAGTTTAAAGCTGCGAAGATGTCGGAGATTCTCTCCCACCACCCCTCAGCTATATCAGATTCGGGTCCTCCATAGAACTTAGGAGGTCCAAATTTCAAAAACCTCTCCAATGCCCGATCCTCAGAATCAGTTGGGCCTCCTTGGCGGTGCACTGGCCCAGAGGCTTGATGTTCAGTCAAGCGCTCCAAGACATCAGTGATACGGTTAATTGCGGTGGCCACTTGATCTCCGGCCACTCCCTCTTGCCCTTGGTCTTGGTTGACCTCGGGTTCCCTATCACCACCCGCTTCCGGGCGTTGTCTAGGGGGTCTCCCACGGCCTCTTCCTACTATTTGGCGATCCATGGCCTAATTATGCCTAATACTGAAGGGTAAGATAATTAGGCAAAAATTTACCTATAATTAATTTTTATGATTCGTTACGTGATTAAAATCAACATGGAAATAGAGGAAAAGAAAATGAAACACTTAACATATATTTCCGTGGAACAGTCATACAATTTGCAAGTTGGAACATTTCCTAAAGTAAGGCACACAAGTTAGCAAAAATACATACAAATAATCCCTTAAGCACAAAATTAGGGATATGGTGCCTTGGAAGCAAGTCATTCACCTAGACAAAACTTGATGACTTGACTAATGTTCCTGAACTGATCCTACCAAGCTAATACTATCAAGTCAATCCCAGTCTAACCCTCAGCAGGGCTATCAGGAGCAATGTCCTCAGCCGGATCCTCCTCCGGATCTTCCTCTGGATCCTCCTCCGGATCCTCCTCTGGGTCCTCCTCCGGGTCCTCCTCGGTACCTGCCTGTTCATCCTCCTGAAGGTAACTAGTGGCCTCATCCATAAGCATAGAAGCATCAGCCCTGATGCCAGCACTCCTATCTCTGATCCCCTCAGCAAGTCGGGTCACTCTAGACCTCTGCCTCTCTATCTCCAAACGAGCAACCTCCAGCATATTATGCTCAGCAGTTAGCCTAATCTCCAAGTCAGCTATGCGATCGAACTGAGTATCCACCATGATACTCAGCTCCTCCACATCCTGGGTCAAGGTGTGGTTAGCGTCCCACAAGTGGCGGCGCTCATCATCAAGAGATAACACCAACGTGTTGGGATACGCATAGGTGGCCCTACACTGGCACCTAGGGTACCTATCAGCTGGGGAGTATCGAACTCGATCTCCTCCTCCTCGAGGTCTATAGGAAATGGACCTTAGCGGCTCTACGTGTCCATTAGCCTCACTACTACCGTTAGCATGCCCGTTACCATTCTCCATACCTGTAAAATAATCAACACTTAAAAATTAGAACTTAATTAGCTAACCGGATCATATATTACTTAAGGTATTTCTAATGGTCTCAAAACTTATTTCTAGAGAGGATTAGGGTTTCTAACACAACTAATATGTCTTTCAAATAATTTCTCTAACCTAGGCTCTGATACCACCTGTGGCGACCCCACTTCCCCCTGAGGCGAACCAAAGGGTTGGCGGGCCGTCTGCCCAACTCTCGCCAGGACTCACGCGAGCAATCTGACTAGAAACTTTTCGAAGAATAAACTAATCTATTATAAAACAATTTTTCCCCGAATAGCATCATACCTAAAACCACATTAACTTCAGAGATAGCAATGATAAAATAACTAGTCGAGGCCCTTAAACGCCCTACGTGCTACATACCAAGTACAAAATCATAACAACCCAGATAGATAACATGCATAAATCCATAATACAACTTACAAGCCAAGTAATCGAATTAGGGTTTACACATTTTCCAGCTTCAAGTGGCAATCCAAAAAGGAAAATACATTATTCCAATAACACGCTACAGCCCACAGAACAAGTTATAGAATTCAAGTACAGCCCAAAAGAAAACATAATTAAGCCTCCAGCTTTCAGTTTCCAAAACCTGTTAAGGAAAACAATAAACGTGGGATGAGCTAAAGCTCAGTGGTGCCCCAAAACATGCAATTACATAAATCAAACAACGGATAACAATTTAAACAAAATTTAATCAATTAGGAAAGCGAATAACAGCACAAGGTAGGATACAGGGCTCTCAGGAGCCATTTTCCACGCTTGATCAGATACCATCGTAGTTGACCCTCCGTCAACTTTCACTACTTATAGTCCATGTAGATCCACTTATTTTAATCCTAACCCGTCACCGTTCATACCTCTGCTTCGGGCCCGAAATTCGTCTACCGACGCAGTATACTCGAGATATACCCGTATAAAATTAGTCGAGGGATTCACCCAATGACGTGATTGCAATCAGATACATGCGTCGAGGAATTCACCAAACAACGTGATTGCAATCAGATACGTGCGTCGAAGGATTCACCCAATGACTTATTGTAGTTAGATACATGCGTCGAGGGATTCACCCAACGACGTAACTACATTTAGATTCATGGTAGTTAGATTCATGCGTCGAGGGATTCACCCAACGACGTAACTACATTTTGAATCAAGGATTTAGGAGAAAATATTTTGCACAAGTCACCACTCGAACGGCTAGTGTGATAAAGTACACACAGCTCACTTCGATGGATCAGAAACCAATTTTTTTTTTTTTCAACTTATCACATAACAAATCAAGAAAGTACTTTAAACGAGTAGGCATAGAACAGGCAGGGACACTCACCCAGAGTGGAGTTCAGATATCAAGTTGGGGATCGAAATCCGTGTCCTCGAAAAACCCTAAAAACCAAAATTTGAAACTATAAGTTTCTACTCAATTTTTAAGCTTATAGACATTAAGATATATTGAATATATTACTAGTTCACTTTCCCTTAGAAAAAAAATCAAGGGTTCCTTAGATTAAAACTCGATAAAAGTAGAAGAGATATTTCTTATAGTTTTCCTTGAAGTACTTTTCTAAAATAAATTAACTAGTATTATTTTATTGAAATAAGTCGATAAACCTCTGAATATCAAAGCTAGACAGTTACTTTGAACATTTCTCTAAAGATACGACTTTTGCAAGATTTATTCCCAAAAACTATTTTTCCTAAAAAAAAATAGAGTTTTCTTGCCGAGCAAGACTCCCAGGCTTTTCACTAAAATTTGTAAAACTCGTATTTTGAATTTTTCCTAAAGTTAGCTATCCAAATGTAAAGCTTAAGGAAAGAAAAGAAATTGAAATACGCCTTAGAATTTTCAAAAGCTATAGTATTAAAATACTATAGCTATCAAGACTAGTTTAAGCTAAAGGAACTTATCGGTTTCGAAAAGTTTTAGGTGAAACACTAGATATTGAGTTTTTATATTATACTACTAGCTGGAAAATATTTTTGATTGATTTGATCACAGTTACTCGAGTTCACCAAGTCGAAACGACTTGCACAGCTCCGGTTCCGTTTCGAAATTATTAGAGATCAAAATATGGCAAAAATCACGTAGCAAATTACTAGGACTTCGTCAACCATTAGCCCTAGGTTTCAACAATTTATCATTCGAGCACACGCAAGAAAATTAACCAAGGCTTAGTCAATACTTAGCACTTGTATATAATACTTGTACCAACTCACAGCTTTCTAAACAATTTCAACAATTCATCCATAAATTCAAGTGTGGGAATTCATAGAGCCCACTGTCAAAAATTTCCAACCGTAAATCCAAGTGTGGGAATTCATAGAGCCCACTGTCAACAATTTCCAACTACAATTTAATCAAAAATTTAAACCACACGTAGGCTAAAATCTCAATTCAAAACCCAATTTCTGTTTCACCAAGAAACAGGACATTCCTGCAAAACAGTCCACTTTAAAAATTCACAGACAGCAGTATACATGTAGGAAAAATCTGAAATTTCTACAGTACAAAGGCCTATGATTCTAGTTTTAAATGCCACTGACGGCGCCTTAAACGGATTTTTCTACACCAAGATATAAACATTTTTCTGAGACTGGTTAGGCCATCCGAAAATCTGAAATTCCAATTTTTCACTTGTGAAAAATGCCTTTTCTCTTTTAACACCAACTTGTTTTTATTCAAACCTTCTATATACTTCATATAAAACTTCAAAACAACATTTTCCAAGCATTTCCATCCATCATGATTCAAGGAACAATTCAAACGTCAAGTTAAGGTTCCAATTCACCATTTGACGGTCACATAAGAAATTTCCAGCATGTAACCCAACATTTCTAGTTCCAACTTCAATTTAGCAAACATTTTATTGCTAAACAACTTATACCACTTAAAACTTACAGCTTCCCTGTATGACTAAACCATTTTAATCCAAGGAAAACCCAAAAATAGGTTAAAATTCCAAAAGAAAACAAATTTGAAATTTCTGCTCACACCTCTTTGCTATCCAGAATTTTCCAGCACCTATGTTTTCAAAAATCCAACTTTTCCTTGGCTAAAATCTGGTTTTAAACACCCAAATTAGTCATGCAAAAACTCATCTAGCTAATTAATAACTCCAATTCAAAATTTAACTCAAACAACCGCTGCAATTCCCCAAAATTTCCAGAATTTCTGCACAGCTAGCTTCGGACAACATACATGCAACAGATTTCATTTTTATTTTATTCTTCTGGTTTAAACTAACTAATTAGCTGTATGCAGAGCCTAATTAACTTGTTATAAATCATCTAATCATGGTTATAAATCTAAACATCAGCATTAAACCAAATCAGGCTGCATAATCTTAAGCTAAGCTCTCGGTCAAAGCAGAAATTCTTCCAGCATTTGTTTAGTCACAAATCAATTTTTTTTTTCCCCGGTTAAATCCTGTATTTTGCACTTAAAATTCACATGCACAACTGCTGAATTAACTAGCTATCATATCCAGACCAGAAATCAGTTTGACCGCAACAAAATTGAACCAAGCTAAGCTGCAATAATTAAGCTAAGCTATCGGCAGAAATTTCTTGACCCAAACCAGAAGTTTCCTCTGTTTTAACACTTCATCCGAATGTCCAATTCAACATGCATGGACTTAATCTTCAAGTTTTCACTCAGCTAATGACACTCAAGTGCTCAGATCATCACAGATTATCCAATTAAAGTTACAATTTCCAGCTCAACTTTCGGCAGCTTCAATTCATTCTAAACCAGATTTCCCAAATCTTAATTCTTCATCTAACCTCACCAGCCCACATGCATGTTTATAGACAGCTTCAACAACCCACAACAACTCATATAAGTCCAGAAATTACCTTAGATTGAAGTTTAGTTCACACGACTAGCTTCTGCAAATCCTTCCTTCTCGATCCGTCCAAACTTTCAGTTCGTCCACCCCTCTTATCTCTTGTCCAAGCTTGCAACCAAAATGGAGAAGGTTTAGCTCTCCGCTCTCTTCACTACCTCACGGTTGGATCGAGTATAGAGCAGCAGGGTTCACCATTTTTATTTTTTTTTTCTAGTTCACGGATGAAAGGAAAGAAAAGTTGAAAGCTCGGCTCTTTTCCCTTGGACACTCCGCCCGCAGCTCACGGCAGAAAGGAAATGGAAATGTGGAGCAAATGATATGGGTGGTTTGTGGTATAAGAACAAAGAGTAGAGATATAATGCTGCGGTTTGGAAGGAGGAAGAAATAATTTGCGGTTTTGGTCTTGTGCAGGGAAGGAAATGAATCTGTGGTCTTAAGTCGTGAGATAGATTGGACGTATGGTGGTGCCGTAGTTTGTGAGAGCGGTTTACGTGTGAGGATGGATTGCGTATAACATCGGTTGCGTATCGAAATGGTTAAAAGCAATTGTGATTTGATTTGTGTCATACGTCTTGTTTGGTTTGCATGGAAAGGTAAGGTAAGGGTAATTTAGTCTTTTCACTTTACTCCCTAACCTCGACTTAATTTCGCAAATCCTACTTAATTCTAAAAATTATTCCCAAGTGTGATTCAAACGCTTAAATATACTCTAACATACCTAAACCATTTCTAGCGAATAAATTATCGATTAAACTTGAATATTAAGGTTCCCAACCTGATTTAGCAATTAAATTAGTTATTAGAATTTCCAATTATTATTTCTCAAGAAGTGGGGTTAGTCTAACTCGAAATTTGTTGATTTAGTAATATAAGGCCAAATGAAATAGTAATTTAATCCAAGGGTGTCAATTTGCACACAAAATTTATTGTTACGTACTTATTTGAAAATAAGGAAAGATAAGGATATATTTATCGAATTTTCATGCCTTAAGCATGTTTAATATATTGGTACTATATTTATCTAAAATTCATTGGTTTTCAATTTAACACGGAAATTCTTATTAACATATTCCATTAGTAACTAATTGAAATTAATCATAGCACTTAAATAATTTATTTAAAGATAATAAATCTAACGACTCAATTATCATCAATTTTAGCATAAAAGAACTAAGTAATCTAACATTTTATTTTGAGGCGAAAAATTATACCAACCTTAAAGATACTAATTTAATCAAATAAAACCAAGAAATTTCATGACTTTGGAAAAATTATATTATTTTTCACGTAAACCTATTTTTACACACTTAATTGCGAACAGTTAAAAATAATACTAGGATTTATTGAACAATAAAAGAAATACAAATGAAATATGCACTAACTTATATATCCATTTTCAGGGTTCTCACAATAGCCTCACCTTTTAAAAAGGGAAGGGAAGCTGAATCAAGTACAAATAATTCCATAAATTTAGAAGATATTAAAAAAGTTTACCAACAAAATAATTATACAAATCAAATTCTTCATACAATATCTCAACATATGGAAGTATTAAATACCAAAATTGATACATTAAAGAAACCAGATTTAAAATTCCCTAATGATATATCAGCACCGCATTTCCAACCAAGAAGTCTGACAAGAGAAAAAGAACAAGATTTAGTACAAAGTATTAGTAATCAGAAGATAAGTAATACAGATAATTTATTAAATAAAATATCTAATGCATTACAAAATCTAACTACAGATTCAAAACCAACAACACCCAAAATAAATACATTAGATCAAATAATAGAAGAAAATTCTACAGAAGAATTAGAAGATTTATCAGAAGAATCAAGAGATTCAGATATAGAAGAAAATATACTTTTACCAATAGAAAACCAATTTGAAGAAGAAGATAATCAAATAAATCGAATAAAAAGAAGGAATTATAATAATAAAAATTGGAAAATAGTAAGTTCAAAAAATTATTATCCTAGACCAAGTCCTCCAGATATTCAATATGAAAAAAGATCAAAATTTAGAACGACTAAATATGACGGAGATTCAATATATGAATGGAATATCGATGGTAAAGCTGAATATGAAGTATTAAATAATTTACAAGAAATGGGAATGGCTAGATTAGCTTATAAAATTAAAAATATTCAAGAAAGAAATATTGCAACTTTACTAGTTTCAGGATTTACTGGACAATTAAAAAATTGGTGGGATAATGCTTTAACATTACAAGATAAATTATCAATACTAGATCATACTCAAGAAATAGAAGATGATCAAGGAAATATTCAAATACAATCAGATGCTGCAGAATTTTTAATTGTAACAATAGTTATGTATTTTATAGGAAATCCAAAAGAGGAATTAAATTCTAATAAAACATTTTTAACAAATTTAAGATGTCCAACTTTATCAGATTTTAGATGGTATAAAGATATGTTCTTAACAAATGTATTAAGAAGATCAGATTGTAATGCTTCATTTTGGAAAGAAAGATTCATAACTGGATTACCAAGCTTATTTTCACAAAGAATAATGGATAATTTACAAAAGGAAATGGGAACAGATGTCATTTCATTCGAAAATATTACTTTTGGACAATTATTTGCTTTTGTGAAAAAAGAAGGATTAATGTTATGTTCAGAATTAAGATTACAAATAAAATATGGATCAAAACAGAAAGAAGTAGAATCATTCTGTGATGCATTTGGAATTAAAAGAATTAAATCACCATCAGCATACAAAAAGAAAGTTAAAAAATACTCTAAGAAAACAAGGTATAAAAACTCTAAAGAAAATGAACCAACTAAAAAGAGAAAATTTATTAAAAAGAAAATTGTTTGTTATAAATGTGGAAGAATAGGACATAAAGCAAATAAATGTAAACTAAAAGAAAAAATAAATGAAATTTGTGTAAACGAAGAAGAGATAAAAAATAAATTAATAAATTTATTAATAAATGAAAAAGAACAAAATATAGAAGATGATTATTTAGATGATATTTCCAGTTCAGACAGTGAAGAAGATTGTAATTGTACTCCAAAATATATCAATGTAATAACTAAAAAAGAAGATAAAGAATTTTTACTAGATATAATAGAAAAAATTGACGATCCAATAGCTAAAAAAGAATATTTGGAAAGATTAAAAAGCTTAATTATTCAAGAAGATAAAATGCCAAAGATAATAGAACCTTTTAGCATATCAAAATTAATAGATAAATATCCAAATATAAATGTAATGAAGAAAGAAACTACTAAAGATCTTCAATCAGAAATTAATAATCTTAAAATACAAGTAAAACAATTACAACAAGAAATAATAGAATTAAAATTAAAAGATTTAGAAATAGAATCAAAATTAACATTAATAAATAATAATCAACCTTCAACCTCTAATACCAAAACAGACGAAATATCAATAGCAGAAAACCCAGTAAAAGAAGACCAATATATAAATATTATAGAAAGAATGATTTTTCAAAAATGGTTTGCATTAGTAACTATTACAGTAGAAGATTTCAAAGAAACATTTGTAGCTCTTATAGATAGTGGAGCTGATACAAGTTGTATTAAAGAAGGAATAATTCCCACTAAATATTGTGAAAGAACAAAAGAAAAACTAATGGCAGCAAATGGACAAGATTTAGAAGTAAAATATAAATTTACAAAAGGTTCAATATGTAATAATGAATATTGTATTAAACATAATTTCATAATTGTAAACAATATAAATCATGATGTAATATTAGGTACACCCTTTTTAATTCAAATATATCCATTTGTAGTAAGTCATGAAGGAATTTCAGTAAATATAATGGGAAAAATTATTACCTTCAAATTTTTAACTCCAATAAGACAGAAAGAACTACAAACCTTACAAACATCTTCAATATATAAAACAATAAATACCATTACTAAAGTACAACAACAAATAAATTATATTAAAGAAGAAAAATCTTATTTAAAAATTGAAGAACAATTAAATGATATTAAAATACAAAAAAGAATATCAGAATTAGAAGAATTATTTCAAAAAGAAATTTGTGCAGATATTCCTAATGCTTTTTGGGATAGAAAACAACATATGATAGAATTACCTTATGAAAAGGACTTTGAAGAAAAGAATATTCCAACAAAAGCTAGACCAATACAGATGAATTCTGAATTACTAGAATTTTGTAAGAAGGAAATAAAAATATTAATAGAAAAAGGATTAATAACACCTTCAAAATCACCTTGGAGTTGTGCTGCATTTTATGTCATGAATCAAGCTGAAAAAGAAAGATGAGTTCCAAGATTAGTAATAAATTATAAACCTTTAAATAAAGTATTACAATGGATTAGATATCCTATTCCTAATAAAAAAGATTTGCTCAATAGATTATTCAATGCAAAAATATTTTCCAAATTTGATATGAAATCAGGATATTGGCAAATAATAATAGACCCAAAAGATAGATACAAAACAGCATTTACAACACCTTTTGGACATTATGAATGGAAAGTTATGCCATTTGGATTAAAAAATGCACCATCAGAATTTCAAAATATAATGAATGATATTTTCAATCCTTACAGCTCATTCAGTATAGTATACATAGATGATGTATTAATATTTTCAGAATCAATAGAACAACATTTCAAACATTTAAGTATATTTTTAAAAGTAGTCAAGAAAAATGGATTAGTTGTTTCCGCCCCAAAAATGAAATTATTTCAAACTAAAGTAAGATTTTTAGGACATAATATATATCAAGGAACAATAAAACCAATTAATAGAGCTTTAGAATTTGCTACTAAATTTCCAGATGAAATAAAAGATAAAACTCAATTACAAAGATTTCTAGGATGCTTAAATTATATAACAGATTTCTTTCCTAAATTAAGACAAGAATGTTCTATATTATTTAACAGACTAAAGAAAAACCCAAAACCATGGACAGATGAACATACTCAAAAAATAAAATATTTAAAAGAAAAAATAGAGTCATTACCATGTTTATGCCTACCTCATCCTAAAGCATTCATGATAGTAGAAACTGATGCCTCAGAATTAGGATATGGTGGAATACTAAAACAAAAGATAAATAATTCTAAAGAAGAATTAGTTAGGTTTCATTCAGGAACATGGTCTGACCCTCAAAAGAATTATTCAACCATTAAAAAAGAAATTTTATCCATAGTTTTATGCATATCAAAATTTCAAGACGATTTATATAATAAGAAATTTTTGATTAGAATAGATTGTAAATCTGCAAAAGAAATTTTACAAAAAGATGTTCAAAATATAGTTTCAAAACAAATATTTGCTAGATGGCAAGCTATTTTATCTGTATTTGATTTCGAGATTGAATTTATCAAAGGAGAAAATAATTCTTTACCAGATTTTCTTACTAGAGAATTTTTACAAGGACATGGATCCAGCAATGATAGCTCGAAGAAATGCTCGTGAATATTCAAATTATTTGAGATCACAACGAGATTCTCCAAAGCTTCAGAACAAAGAAAAAGTGATTCAATCCAGAGGATATGTATATTCCATTCAGACCCAGAATGGAAGACAAGTTATTCCAGCCTACCAAATTCCTAAATACGATGAAATTTATGTTCAAAAAAGCCCTTATGCAACCATTACTCCAAAAGAAAGAGCCTTTCTTATTCAAAGACAAATTCAGAAAAACACCATTCGACTCATTACCCATCAAAGAGCAAGCAGAAGTGAAGAATTTCTTCACAACGAATTTATTCAATATTACCAAGACCAGAATAGACAATTATCTGACCAACTTAAAGATGTTGTTTATTAATTTTGCAGGAAAATGGATTCAAAAGCAGG